CTTGTTTAACTCACTGGAAATGAGGAGATCATTAGTGCAGCTTTAACAATGCCATTAAATACATGACTTATTGACTGTAAACAAAATAATGAATGCAGAGACCTACATACATTTTTAAAGCTATGATGAGCTCATAAAGATAACGTTAAAATAAAATAGTACAAACAAATAAATCAATGTTAAACAATAAAATCATATTTACAAGACATAATATGAAAACACATTGTCTTTAGCCCTATTCCTCAAAAATGCTCACCTTCATTTCCTGTAATCATTCTACAGATACATAACTGAGATGCATGATGTGCTTCTGAATAACACTGGCAAGAGGAATCACAGTGCAGAAAACATACCAAAAAATACATAAATAAATCAGTCGCGCTTATCCGAAGCTTTTATGCAAAGTGTGCCACAGCATCACAATAAATGTGTGACCCCTGTTTGTTCACTCGCAGAGCTATAGAGATCAGTCCTGGAAAGCAGTTCATTTTGGTCTTTTCTTTGGATCCTTCACTATAAAGCAGAACTAGAACATGTGGCAGTTATGTGCTTTCTGAAAAGTGTCTGGGTTAAAGCTGACACATTGTTGGTCAGGAAAAAATGAATGCATATTGGAGTATAAAACAACTTAAGAGCAATTTTGCAGCATTAGTCTCAGTATTATTTTTCATAGCTTGATTGCATTTAGAATGACAGTTGGTGTCCATGTAAGACCCATTTCATTAGCTTTAAATACTGCATTTGGACTTTTTAAATTCAATTATTTCTTTGCAAAGCTGGCAGGAGAATAGCTCTTAATTTAAAGTACCATTCTTCTGGCATTTTATTATTTTTAATAGAAACTGTTTAATTGAGCTCAGCAGAATTTCAGTCTTGTTTTCAGCAGCTGTTGTTTTAAAGTCCTTCAAGGAAAGCTACTCCTTATAAGTCTGTATTCACTACATTCCAGCAGTGACTTTGTGGCTGCTGTATAATTTATTTTTTTCTGCAGCCACACTGTTTTGGCCTTTCTGATCCACCAGCAACAGATTTCCTACTAAGCCCAGAATGCAACCTGCTGAGAGTCTGAACTTGATGGATTTAACCTGTGGGCAAACCATTACGTTTCAGCAGGAGATGAAGACTAAGTGATCACAGAAAGCAGAGTCATTCCACTGTCTAAAATGACAACATGTCTTCCAGCTCTGGCTGAAGAATGTTCTTTCTGGCTTTCACAGAACTGTGTATGATTGGAGAATATTAACAATGGAACTTTTGGGAATGGAATTTTCTGGGATTCCTAGAACATAAAAAGCCAGTGTGTATCTTTACAGGACTATTCCCATTAAGTTTTATTTACTTTCTCCTAGTTTGTTGTTCATGGATTGTCAGTACTAGTTTTTTTTCTTCTCTTTGACATCACCTCCCAACCAAGTGTAGCAGATGGCTCCCTGTCCCTGAGCTTGGTCCTGCTGGAGGTTCATTACCACTTCAAAGTATTACCAAGTGCTTTCTCACACAGAACTATCAGGCCATCTGTATTTTCTCTAATATAGCAGAGGTTTTATCTTCCAGTGTGAAACAGTTTTAGGTGATATATAAAAATATAATAAAATCAAGTTGGTTTAATTCAGACTGACGACCTGTCCAGGGTGTACCCTGTCTCTCACCCTCTGGCAGCTGGGATAGGCGCCATCTACTACAGTTTCCTTGTAGTACAACTTTAATTGTTCTGCAAGTTTTTATTTAAATTACTTTAACTGGTAACCTCTCCATTATCAAGTAAATCTTGACAGTAAAAAAAGGAAATCAAATTACCCAGGAATGTACTTCATTAGTTAGTTTATACAGCTCATTGATACAGTAATATTAGAAATATTAACTCATATTCCAGTACAGCTTTTCCAAAGCAAATAGTAAGAATTTTACAGTATGTACAAGTGTGGTATGCAAACTTAATTCAAGCTAATTCAAGCTAATGTTATCACAGAAATGATGAATAAGTATGAGAACTTCTACTGATCATAAGTGCCAAAAAATAATGCTAAAGTCTTCAGTTTAACCTGCAAAATATTATTTCTGTTTTATTTTGTCTGTTTAGATACTGGTATCCCTTGATTATGCAAGATGAACATATGAGGTTTTTATGGCTTCACACAGTGACTGTGGCTTCACAGGCCTCTCGTTGCCAAGGTATGCAGGCTGAGGTTTCTAGAAATCACACTCCCCCTGGCTTAAATTGCTATGTCAATACCAGACATTCCCAAACATTTAACCTCCCATGAAAAGACTTCAGGCAAGACTGTGCACATTTGGGAGAGACAGAAAATGGTTTGACATTATTTTAAGGAGTATTTTGTCTTTTTATTTAAGTAGGCATTTTATATTGAGAAGGAGAGGTAATTTCAATATGGCTATAATAGAAAAAAAAAAACCCAAGTGAAATTACAAGTTACAGGAAAAGAAATAAAAATCGAGAAACTAATATTCTACATATTATATCTGTCTCAATAGGCTTGAACGCTTACACAAATTTCTCCAAAAGCGATAGATCAAAAACTGTTCATTGAGTATGTTTTTGTTGAGCAGCAAGCATCTATATGAAGAATCTATGGGACAAGTATTTACTGTATGTGACTGCAGAAAAGCTGAACTAATTCCAGTTTTTCTGTATCAGCAATCATAATCCCGCACCATAGTAAATAGAAATGTGCAAACACTTGACCAGGAGTTGTTGCAGAACTCCTCTGCTCTCTTCCTGTTATCAGCTTGACAGGATTTTACAGCTTTGACTGGAGAAGTTGGGGTATACAGTGGAGAAGTCTTCACCCTCTGTGTTACATTCAGTCTGAAATGAGCCTCTCTGGCAGCTCTTCTGCACATACCTGCCCTGACAAAAGCACTGCTGTCCTGGCAGAGACTGTTTAGCTTCTTCAGCTCCCTGCCGATCTGCTTCCAGTAAAGTTTAACATTTGAGGCATACTCAGGACAAGCAGTAGGTCTGGCAATATACTCGCAGCTGAAGCTCCTGTCCTCCTTCTTGCACGTGATGCTGAGAATGACGATATCTTCACCTGTTGCAACCCAAGCACATTCGAACTTGTCTTTGGTGACCACTTTGCCTCTCATGAGCTGTGCAGAGACGGGCTTTGTTTGGCGGCCCACTTTTGCTCCCGACCTATTCTTGTGCTGTCCTTTGTCCATGCCTCGTCCCCTCCGTCCACCGCTCTTCTGGCAGCTACCCAACATCACCTGATGGGAAATACAAGCCAAGACCAGGAGGATGGTGACGTTTGTGAGGAGAGCCATGAAATCAGTAGAACACAACCTGCCAAAGGATTAAATCAGATTTAGATATTTGACCTTAAAACCCTTTAATTTCCCTTTGGAGAAAGACATGTCTTAATCCCTCCGTTAAACTAACATTTCAAATGGAAACTGAATGTTGTGGGAATAGTTTTGGCTTTAGACAGCACAAAACAGCATTAAGTATTTTTTGTACAGCACATTCAAGACAATTTCAAGTCAAAGAGGTATTTTGAAGAACAAAAAGAAGAATGCAAAGATGCAATCTAAAAATTATTCCATAAACGGAATTTTGAAAAAAACATGGAGCACATGCACCTTTTAGTTTGACTTTAAGAAAGGAAGAGGTTTAAAAACTGTTAAAAAGAAGCACAGATTTAAATACTGATTAAAAAATAAAAATGTAAATGCATCATATTACAATTGTGGTGGTGCAATTATCCTTGATTATGCAGTTATGCAACTATATCGCCTACAGTATAACTACAACAGTTATAAACAAAATACAGACTAGTAAATATTGGAAATAGAGATAAAGACAATGTGTTTAACAGGTATTTTATAAATATTGAACCTGGCAACAAGGATTTCACAGAATGCATTTTACAAAAACTTAACTGTGAGCACATTAAATATATACTAGGCTGATGTAAGTAGCACACCCCAAATATTATTGCCAGATTAGGGTGCAGCTTAAGTTGTGGTGCTTTTTCTTACCTGAAGTTTTTAGAGAAACTTCGGTTTGCAGTCCTCACACATGAGAGTGTTGCCCTTACTTGCAGATTGCAATATGCTGCCACATAATCACCCCTCCCCTTCAAATATATACACTTGCACTCACACGCTCAGTCACACACCCTCACACACACACAGCATGACTGAAGAGCTTATAAAGTTTATTGAGGTCTTGAATAGATTAGGGATACTTTGAACCTGGTACCTGTGTCATCAAACTAAACTGTGTGGGGGGGGGGAGACATTTAAAATTACATGGCTGATAGAAAATGAAATTAGCCTAATACATAATAAAAACTTTTTATAAACACTGTCAATTTAGAACCAAAACTTCATCAACCCACAAGTGATACAAGTGTTAAACTTGTATGCAGCTTCTATGGACCTGAATAATCATGAGCACTTGCAAGGCTTATGTTAAGCTCCCAAAACTAAAAGTTATCTGTTGTTCCAGATTTTCTGCTTCAAGTTCCACCTGCTTTAGAATAATCTAAGTTCATATTTTAAACAAATGCAAATAACCTAGAGTCTTAAAGGACCTTCACAGGGCCAACTGTAAGTGCACCGTGCCAGAGATGAAATGGCTTTGAATATCTTGAAAGGAGCCAGATGTTTCTGCTGGATAAAACTGCTGATTGATTGAACTTAGTCTCAAAGCACCAAACACCTAATGGTCACATACGGTACAGTAGACGAGTCATATGGCTTAAAAATATTAAACTGCACACTGCCATAAGACATAACACCCTAGACAACTCATTTTCACAAATACTGCTGCTTGCACATTTATTATCTAATATTTTCAATCAGGAATGTTAACGAAACGACATTAATCAGCACATAGAGATTGAAAATGGTTATTTAATAAAACATTTTCACATTTATACATATTTTGGGACAAATACACCAGCATGGAAAACCAGAGCAAAATAAAACAATCCCCCAACAATTCTGAAGGTAATATTGAGTGATGCAAACAGATAATATACAAGTAATAAACATAATAAACATACATTATATTTTAAAGCAGTATCATTCAGTACAGGTTGTTCATGCAAAACATTTGTCATTACATAGTCAAGTGAGACCTTTAAGTTCTTCCAGCTTGGCTCTTAATGGAGGCTGATAATTGTTGGTTTGAGTGAGAGGAGTACTTGAAAGTCACTGTAATAGCACAGCTTGCCCTGAAGAGGGTGTTACAGTTCTACAACAGGCTAACAAACTCCTCGTTTGGAATTTTCCTCCAAGGGCTGCTTGAGCCAGACGCCAAGTTATTTTCATTAGCGGTTAAAAGCTGTGAATATAACACATAAGGTGTGCAAGGTGGAAACTGGGTGCATAGGCAATATAATTAGGAGCAGCAAAATAAATAAATAAAAAAAATGCTGGAATCTAACTTAATTAAATAGCCTCATTCTAGATTAGTTATAAATGAATATTTTAAAAAGAAGTGTTACATGTTAACAAACAGGCCCAGTACTGCTGCTCACCTTTCTGGTTAATTACGAAACAAACCAATGAAGAACGAGCAGATGCCCTGCAGCGACCTCCAGCAATTCTGCCGAGCCATTCTTTTAGCGTTGCTCTCAACAGCAGGTGTTGTTGGTGGTGGTTGAGTACTAGTTTCCTGAGTGGTCTTTTCTTTTTGTGGCTCTTGAATGGATTTTGCGTCAGCTTGTCTTGTTGGTGTAGGCCGACGTTGAGGTCTTGCTACTTTCCTAGAAGAAGCCTCTGCTCGTGACTGGGAGAATGAAGATGATGAGAAGACCATCTGAGAGTCATCAGTTGCCTTCCTGCACATGTGAGGTTTAATCTGTCTTGGTGCTTGGCAGGCATTGTCCAGCTTTCTCAGGTTCCACATCATCTGCACGAAATAGTGTCGAGGATTTTTGTTGTAAGGGGTGCAGGTGTGAGGCTTGCCTATGTAGTCACACCAGTAAGAGCGCTTGTTCCTCTGGCATGACAGTCTCAGCCTCGTGAATTCCCCTTGACCGGTGACAATCATGGTGCATGAGTCTTTAGCCTTGGTGCTGAATTTGATAGGTGGATCCCAAATGCTTTGACCCCTTTCAGTCTGAGCCTCAGCTGGCCAGAGGCAGCAGGCGAGCAGCAGAGCAGCGGTCTGGGCCCACATAGTTTCCAATGGGTGCTAAATGTGAAACTACTGGAAATGAGCGTCCCTCCTGCTTTTTATTGGCCAAGCAAAGAAGGAATTCAGGTTCCAAAAAAAAAGAAAAAAAGAAAACAACCCAGTAGACTAAAAGAGGCCAGCTCCATGGGAGGAGGAGAGTGGCCTTACCAGTTACAGCTGCCAGAAAAAGGAAAGCGCTACGTGCAAAACGATGCTGACACATGTAGGTGTTCTGTTTAAAAAAGAAAAAGAAAAGTACATCCTCTCATGCATGTAACCACTTCTCAGTCATGTTAAATTTACCTCATGGAAAAACATCTTAGTTTCACTTGTTAATAAAAGTTCATTGCAGAATGCAGGCTTAAAATGTCTTGCTTGCTGTAGAAAACAGTAATAACTCTTAACGATGTAGTGCAACCTATTTTCCTAAAAGAGTATAAAGTATAAAGAGAAGTGTGAGAAGCCACTCAGACATTGGTCATAAAGTGTATTATGAGTGTCTTTAAGAGGCTTTATTTTCTGGCTCCATCTGTATCTGCCTTGAGAGTGCTGTCAGTGATAGAAGAACAAGACATGGTACTCAAAGAATCTATACAGGCAGTATAACTTCCAGGGTTTTAGTGTTTTGAGACTCAGAAGCAATATATCATTGATCTGCATTTAGACCACAATTTTAGAATAGCTAAAAATTATATTCAGTTGTGAATTTTCCATCAGTAATTTGTCTCAGTTTCTAGATGCAAGAGATGAAACTCTTCAGCTATAGTGCCGGTTGGTGCCAAACACAATATTAGCAGAGTTTCTTCTTAAAATATTCACTACCCTTCTCTGTGAATGTTTCCATTTCCCTGAAATATCAGCATGTTCATTCCCACACTTGAAAATCATAATATGTGGGCTGCCCACTGTGCATAATGACAGTGATATCAGAGCTCAATTTTGTCCTGTAAAGGCAAAAGTATGGTGGCCAGGTGAGCTCACTACACTATAAGGAAACATCATTAATTTTTCATTGAATGTGCAAAATACAACATAACCAAATAAATAAAATCTATTTATTTAGGAAATTGAGTAACACCTGCAAATTGCATGTGGCAGAGCGATACTTGTCAGTGGTGCTGAAAAACAATGAAAAAATGTCTTTTGTGTTTCCTGAAAATTTTCCATTGTGTTCTTTATAGTTGCGCTGTGTATATTTTAAAACTATGTCTGAAGTACTCTCCCCGGCACAGCGTTTGATCTGATGTAAACACACTGAAGAGGGTTTCTCTGAACCGCTGCTTCTGTTTTTATGTAGTTTTGTGCTCATCTCTCTCTACACAAGCCTTTTTAGAAGTAGGGCTGCTATGCGGTTGTAGTGGTGGTGGTTATTCATATACTGAACTATTTAATGTCTCAGAAAACCTCCAACCAGAGGAACAAACAAATGCTTATGGAAGATGATAACCTCTTATAGAAATAGCTGACCAGTAACATAACAGTGGTAGCACCACATAAGAATTTGCACTCTTGCGTTAAACTGTTTTCCTTTTTAAGTTTTTTTGTCTTGTTTGTTAGAAAACCAAATAAAGAAAAAATGAAATTGTTGTGAACTACATTTGCCCATTTAAAACAAGTTGATCCAAACTGTATGGCTCATTCAAAACACAGACCACAAAAGAAAAATGTCACTGAAGTGCAAACTTTGGATTTTAAAACTTTATTCACAATTTATACACTTTCTTTCCATCACATCATATAAACCTACTCTTCAGTGGCTCCATCAGTGCCCAACTTTGGAGCATCACAGTTCAAACCAGTTACCGCTGTATCTGATCCATCCAGGGTTAGCATACAGGATATCTAGTGTAAGCACTTAGTAAATTCAAACATTTTTCTCTCACATCCAAACTTTCGCAGAAACCCAATGATAGTCCTGTGAGCACACGGATACTTCAAAAATGTCCATTTTAACAAGAAATGTGTCTCAAAATAAAAAGAACATCAGTGACTCAATAGAAGCCCGTCTGTGTTTAAAGTTCAATATAATTCAGAAACTTCATCTTGATGCTGGGAGTTTCCTACACTGCAAATATGTTCTATTACTACATCATAATTTAGGTTTATCTATACAGAGTATTTCTTTTCTCATCGTCACTTAGCCCTGGTTTACAATAACACAGCTTTGGAAATTAAAATATTGAAATAAGATAAATAAACTGGATATTTCAGTCATATTTCTGATGCTAATTCATTGATGCCAATGTTAGAGACAAATATACTTATCACTTTATTTTCCCCTAAATTAATGATTGTGTGGTACTTGAAAGAACAACTGTGCTATGTTAACAGAAATATATGTTTCAGTGTTAAGATGGACATTTTTTTTGAGAGTGTGCATCAACACCATGCTGTGCAAAACATGAAGCATGCTTATTTTTCTACTCTTGATTGACAGCACTCACTATTCCCAATCATGGATTGTCTAATTTCTTTTCGCCATCATTACTCTGCTAACAGCAGCTGCAAATCTAACCTGTAAACATAAGGGCAAAGAGAGTGGGACAACTGGATGTGTTTGCCCGTTGCGTTACACATAGATTTCAGCATATTTCTCAAATTCCATATCAAGCAATGTGAAATAAGAAGAAAATAGCTCTTGAATACATTCACTTTTTTCATAGCTTTAAATGTATCCATAGCTACTGTGGGTTTATACAAAGCAGAGGAACAAAATAAGCACATAGTTGATAGACCCCTAAAGACCTGAGAACTACAGTTTAAAAAAAAAAAGAAAGAAAGAAAGAAAGAAAGAAAGAAAAGATTTGGCTTGAGAATTATTCTCCACTGTAAAAGTATCACCACTACGAAAAAACAAATCATAATAAAAATATTATGTTAGTGAACTCAACAAAACTTGGCCCCATGTGACAAAGGATTCAATCTGCCACACAGGGAACCTAAAAGCCAGACATTTGTCTGTTTGTGTTTTGAATTTAGTCTATGATTTAAAGGGAAAATCCACCTAAAAAAAAGCTTACACTGTTGGAAAAAAACTGGTGTGATTTTGTTTTATGGTGCTGAAGGTCTGTCCACATCAGTAACATGCTATATGGGGGTGAGACTTCCTCAAGGTTCTTGTATACCTGAGATATCCAGAAATGATTATCAAAACAAGGGCCGAGGAGGTGGGGGGTCAGCCCCAACATTTCTGCCCCATAGTACCATTAAAAAACCAGCTTACCTAATCTATGAGGTTTCATTGACCCATCAGGAAGCATTTAAAACCTAAAAGATTAAAACATATTCAGAATTTGAATTGGAGCAATCTTATTCCCAGAGCATCAAATACAGTAATTTTGTCTGAGATGCACATTTTGAATGTAGGACGTTAGTACTGAGACGCACCGGCTAATAGTGAGATGAGTGTTGCTATATGGACTCTTAATTACAAGAGTCCAATTAATATCATTTTTTTCAAGTTGCAGCGTTGTTAAGGGGAATATTTTAATCAAAACTGCCAATTTTTCCTAAAAATAACCAGCTAGTTCTCGTGCCTAAACCCGACCAAGCACCCAGTGAAGGTGAACGTAAAATGACAACAAAACGGACATGAAACACAAACACTGGAAAACCTGTAATTTACATCGTCACCACCTTGCCTCCCACATAATAAAGATTAATATCCTGGTCCCTCAGTATCAAATATTACAGTCAGTGCGTCTCCATATTAACACCACAGAACACCTCGCACGGATCAAAGAGGCCAGCAGTCACAGACAGAATGGCGGTGTTAAGACACCCTGGGAAGATAATGCATGAGCAAAACATACTGCGGACATCATCGTCACAGTAGAAAGCATTACAGAATCACTTTGTTACATTTCATTTCATCTTTTTGAAATAAAGTAATATAACATCCCCACTGGATACAAATGACTTGTTTAAAAGACATTCTGGAAAAATGTAGGGAATTGCCACCTGTAGATGTGGATGACACAGGGTACGGGAAGATAGGTATTCTAGGAAAAAAAAGAGTACAGTTTGGATCTTTACTGCACAAATAACTCCCAGATTGTTGATTTTCAGCAGTGTAAGATTAGCTGTTGGCAGATTTCCTCTTTTAAAAAGTAGCAGCTCTCAAACTCCATACAAAGGCAACCAGTCTTTTGTAATGCGCATCAAACCAGCAAAGATAAACGTTCCTGTGATATTGTAAACATTTTAAAGAGACTAATGTTTTTGTGGAATACCCCCTAACCTCTATTTTACCACTTTACTCAAATTCTCAATCATGAAGACACCACAGATCCACCACTTCACACATGCTGCACTTAAAAAAAAGTATTTGCACTATTCAACACTTGTTAACAGGCTGTTATCGTTAATTTGCATTCATCACAGATGTAATGACACACTAGTTTGCCACTAGTTTGAGTTGAAAGTGTCACATCTCTTTTTAAATGCAGGAAGCAGGAGAAGGAAAAATAAAGAGTCCTCTGCTTGCAGTTACCTTCATCTGACCTTCCAGCTTTTGTTTTCGTAAGCACAAAGAAGCACATTAAAATGAACAAGCATCACAGTTAATGTCATGTCCTGTCACTGAATATTTTTCTGCTTTGTTTCATATCTGAACAAATGTAAACGCAGACAAAGCAGTCCTTTACAAAAAATGCAGAACAAGCCTGGCTCAGATTGATGCTGAGGGGAGAGGAGTTTGATATCCTGCAGGCTGTAACCGTACTGAAGGCCGAGAAGGTTCGGTTCATCGCTGAAGATAACGCCTGCAGGGCAATTGTTCTTTTGTTGTGAGGAAACCAGCTTTCACTGAGCCTCATCTGGTCCAAGGATTTAGGAAATTAAAAGCTTAAAAACAGATGAGAGAATAACATGCTTTAGTCAGCCCCAAAAAAGACACTTGGTGGATGTGATGCTGGATAAAGTTAGTTCATAAAGTATGTAGACACAATCACGTTTTGCACATTTTACTATAATGTACTTTACTGAACTGAAACATGCGTTTAAGAAAGTATTTCAAAAGGTATTCAGACATACAGACATAGATCAGATCACAGGTATAAGCCTATTTTTAAATCTTTAAGCAGGGTTAAGATATATGCCCAAACTGTGTGAAGAACAAGCAGTTCTCTCGTCAAGGAGATGACTAAAAATCACTCTAACAGAGCTTCAGTTGTCCTCTGCACAGATGGACGACAACTCAGATAAAAGTACAACCTCTTTCATTTATCAGGTTTTTACGGTAGGGCAGGTATAAGAATATTCCTTTGAGAGTGAGATCCTGGATTATCTGGGCAGAACTCCAAGGATGATATTAGTTGTAGCTGTCAGGGTCAAGTGGTTGACCGTTTGGTCAGAGTGGACTAGAAACTAATCAATACAATGTCAAAGAAGCTGCCAAATGCAACTTGCCTAACAACAAATTCTAAAAATACTGTGAGTACTGTAGTAGTGAGTACTGGCATTTGTCCAGATTTGGAGCTGAGCATAGTGCTACCTTACAGAAAAACAGATCTGATGCAATTTGGATTTTGTTCACATAATTCTGCAGAAACAGCAAATTGGGTCTTTGTCTTTATCATTAAACGTCCATCCTCATTTATTATAATGAGCAGGGTGGCTATCAACCTGCAGCTTTAGCATCATTGTCAGGGTTTCCTTTAGAGCAATTTGCAATCCCAGCAGTAGTAGCGCAATCTGACCAGACTGCTACCACTGCATTGCCAGCTCATTTTGGCTGCTTTCTAAACATCAACTTCAAGTACTAATAGTTCAGTTGATACCTAATATAGCCCATCTTTTGACAGATGCCACTGTGATGATAAGGGGTTTAAATCTTATGGATGATTGGTGCACATTCTTCTCAACCACTGTCCTTTTTAAAATGATAATTATTTTTAAAGTGTAAAGAAGCTACATAGACTCATTGCACCACATAGCACAAATCAACATTTTCAAAAATAAATAAATAAATAAATGAGAACTAAAAATTACCCAGGCCCAAAAGAATTTTTGTTATCTTCATAGTGGTGAGCTGTCAACTACTCATTTTGCAAACTTTCCCACTTCCTTTGGGGAAAATTGGATTTGCAGAGTGTAAGCTGCTTGTTAAATTGTCACTTTAACAGCAACAGTACTGAACTACTTTAATACCAACTATTGATCCAGGAATCGAAACTCATTCTGCTGATAAAGCCACTGTGGATTCAATTTAAAATGTAAAAATAGTAAAAAGGCAAACCTACTATGACGTATTTCAGTTCCAGTTTTGGAGGGCACTGAGAACACAAATGTTAAGAGAAAAGAGAATTAAGATTTTGTTTTTTAAAACAATTCAGTAAATAACTTAAAACATACTGCATTTCTTGAATGAGATTTATGGAGCTCTGGCTGCTTTGTAAAGCAAAAAAAAACAGTCTGTCATACTCTAGAGAATATTTTTAAAGACTACACCGAGCCTTTTGTGGATACAATACTCGCACGAAACCTGCTTTCCACAGAGCTTAAAGCATTTTCCTTGTTTTTGAATTTCTGGAGAAAATTTGATATTTAATGAACTGCAACTCAAAGATATCATGATCATGTACCAAATTTAAAATGAGAATAAAAGCAGGTCCTTTTTAGTTCTGCAACTGTGAGAATTATATAAAAAAAATAGGAATATTTATTTCAAAATAAAGAAAGCCTGCAAGTGTTGAAAATAAGTTTTTTCGCAGAAATAAAATAAAACTTAATAAATTGAGAAAATAACAATTAATTGTGCAATTCATTACATCTAGCACTTGGACTGCAACAGTATTACCAGCATGTGATGTTAGCCATTACCCAGCTGGCAGTTTACATCACTGTAAAAATTGCATCAGCTAGTTTTCAGATACTGCAGCTTTTCTCTGTGCTTGTTCTGCTTTTCCATGACACAAGTACTCAGTTAGGGACAATTCAGTACAATACAGTCCAAAAAAACAACACGGCCATTATAAAGTGTCTAGACGTAACACTGTAAAAAAAGTGCAGCTTGCAGCAGTGTGAGGTGTTGATGGCATAGTAGAATGCACAGAATTTAAAAGTACTCCTATTATTTTGTAGGTCCCATTAAGAAACCCAAGGAGAATAAAATATTTGGAGAAAAGCACATTATATCCACTAAAAACACAAGCTTTTTATCAGAGAAGTGCAGGTGTTACCACTGCTTTGTTGTATTCACATGTCTCAGTTTCAGGAACTTAAAAGCTAAGTGACTGAATGTATTTCACGGCTTGTAATTGTGACACATTTAACATTTTCTCCGAAAACAAAACAGAACTTACAAGCGACAGAGAACAAACACAGCACACCGACTAAGCAAGCAGTCACACTGAATAAAGATGTTAATGATTCCAAAATTAGTCATTCTCACCATGATGGTTCTTCAGTGAGCAGAAATGCACTAAAACAAGCTGTAAAGAGGTGTTACAGTAAGAGAATTAGGTCAGGGTACAAATACAAAAACATAAGACCAAAAACAGGAGAGAGCACGATGGCACAGTTACTGTAGACAGAACGTCAGGATAAGATGGCAGCTGTGAGAAGGAAAGATGTGAGACTGGAAAGAAGGAGGATTAATTAAAATCATGTTAGAGAAACAGTTGTCTGATTCATTAGCTTTGCAGTACCTTTCAGGAGCCAGAACAAGAGGCGGCTCTGTCACCAGTCGATGTGCCTCGGAGGAGCCGAGGCCCGCGGGAACCTGTTCATAGTATCATAGGTAGGGATGCTACCAGCACAAGAACACACAAGATGCACAAAAAGGAGACAACGTTAACAGCTAAAATTCAACAAATCCATCATCGTTTTGTAAAGCCGCCGGTTTCTCCTCTTCATTTATTTGAAATGGAAGAGGAAAAAAGACGAGCGGCTCACAAGGCAGAGAGCAAAACAGCTGCATCGATATCGACTCAGTTAAACTGGACGGCCAATTAAAGAGGCATTAAGTACAATTACTGCAAATGAGAAATGTAGTATTTCACGAGGCTGTTGCCGTTGTTATTGATAATACCTTCAGATTACCAAAAACTGATGCAAAAATCTTTCCATCTCCTGGACTGTTCCGAACAGCAGAGAAAGGTCATCAGGTTGTAGAATACTTACTGCCCCTTTATTTTTTTAGAGAGCTTTGGCTAGATCTTGGACTTTTAACTGGATAAATAAAGGAAAATGCAGGTTTCATTCCATCTCATATTTGTATTTAAAAGAAATATGAACTGCATCTCATATGAAATGTAGGACAGTGAGGAAAACTGCACAAGCAAAGACCATCTTGAGACTGGACTCATCTGTAATTTAGCTGTTTTGCTCTCTGCCTATAGCTCCTGTTAAGGTTGGCTGGTTGGCCAAATTCATCCTCGTCCAAATGCAACTTAAAAATACATAACATGCAATTAGATGTTTTGTTAGTTTAAGGGAAAACAAATAAAAGGAGCATTTCCAGCATCACACAAAAGCTTGACATGCTTGCCTCTCTCTGAACATAATGATCAGGTGTACATTCATCGGACTTTGGCTGACTCTAAACGAGAGGAAAGAGGAAGATTCTTCACTCCACCAGAACGTGTGCACAGAGAGCATGCCTAGTTAGTAACATATTCCTCAAAAGACACAAAGGAAAAAACTGGCAAAATGAGAAAGTGAAAAGCAATCGCAGCAGTTCCTAACTAAACATGTAACTAAAAACATTAAAGGTGGAGGAAGAAGAAAAACTACATCAACCAACCACAACACTTTAGTATCTTAATAAATAATACTATGTAAAGCACTTGAATACTCCTCCACCTCCAACACTGGTTGTGTTGCATAATAGTTGAGCATTAGAGGCCCGGGTAATTAGATTTTTTTCATCTTACACAAAGCCGGGCTATCCATTTTCCTTTACTTCCAGCCTTTAAATTACACTAGTACCTCTTGCATTGCTCAGTGCTTGCACAGAAGTCATGGCGTTACCATCCTGTTCTCCTCTAATCCTACAGAATCTAGATACTGCAATACATCACACAATTTGTTGATAATACTCTGCTGGCCTTTTTAGGTTTTCACGTTTTCTGCTGCCATTACTTTTCAATTTTATGACCTCCAGATATTCAATATGTCTACACGTGTACATGCAATGAATCAGCTCCCCTGCAGTCTTGCACTATGCCAGGCCAAGCTCCTCCGGCATGCTTCCACCTCCACCATCACATGCACTTAACAGGATTAATGTAATGTTTACCTTGTCATCATAGGATTAGGAATACCTTGTAAGTGCTCACTATGATAACCATTATTACCAATTTCCATACTGAAAACAAAATATTGTAAAAACAAAAACAAAAACAAAAAAAGAGCGATGAAAAATGTAAGGTAATACGCCATGCTGAAATGCTTGCATACAAATGCTTTCTTTTTTTTTTGAGAAGCTAAACTTTTTCAAAGATGTTAGGAAGTACACATATTTGGAGTAGAAACCATGTTGTTGTTATTTACACTATAACTTACAAAAACAGGTGGACTTGTAAGGTAATGATTGCAAGAGCCCTTCATGAAAGGTAAGGGGCACTTTTCAAAAGGTAGCACATGACAAGAAGCCACACCATCCACCCATAAGAGCAATTCCAAGCTTAGAAATGCAAACCAGCACCAAGAATTTAGTAAACAGTTCTATGTACAAGAATCAGAGAAAAGCACAGAGTGAGAGACGTTGAAAAGGAGAGGGAGGTGGATAAAATGTCTTACGTTTTCATGGGAATTGTCTCAGGGCTATAAAGATACACACAAAAGAAAAAAAACCAGCAACATAACATCATTAAGTTGGTAAAGGAAATGCACCAGATAGTTTCTTGTAATCAGTCAGATTACAAAGTAAGGGACGCCATTGATCATCCGAGACGTTATAGAAAAAACTACTGTATGACTGCAGAGTCAAAGAACGTTAAAAAAATGTGTGTAAAGAAGAAAAATAAACAAACAGATGTGCCAATGCTTCTTTTTAAAGTGCCAAGTGCTTGATAGAGAGTGATGGGGAAAAAATGAAAGTTTAAATAAGGGATGTGGGAAATGGAAATAGTAGAAATGGTTATCACAAAGTGAAATGCCAAGTCCCAGAAACAGAGGAACTACAGAGAGGAGAAAAGGGAGGAAAAGAAAGTCAACTGTAAACTTGTAGAGCCAACGTGACAAAACAAGACCCATTCAAAGTTCATTTGACTGCAATAAACCCCAAAAATTCAGCTAAAATATTTATATAAAAAATAAAAACTTGATTCCTTCATATGATTTGCAGCTCAACATGCACAAAGCAGATAGAAAAGACAGAATAGAAATAACAGAAGGATGTCCTGCAACCATTATCAAAATGTGACATATAAACTGTCTTACAGTATGTGGACATTCACAGGGCAGTGTAGATGTTACTTAACTTTGCACTGACTAGGTATTTAATATGAAAGCTATAAATACATTTAAGGGAAAGGTAGAAGAGCATGTACAAATACTCACTCATCGTAAACATCCTCTGTGTCCATCCTGCGGTAGTACTTGGCCAGTTTTACTGCTAGAATAATGCTCGGGAGCAGGAGGAGAGTGCTGCAGCCCAGGCCCATCCAGAAAGTGTTCTGTTGGAAAGGCAAGTACTTAGGGTGGAAATGATAACCCATCAGGATATAAATTCATAATTATTTTAGCCTTTTGTTATTACTGAGGAAAGATTTCATGCAAAAGTTCAGGCTATGCAAGTAATATAAAATATGTCTTCCCTCAGGACATTATATAAATCAAATGAATAATAGATTAAGATAGACAGTAGTCGCTCCAGTTAGAGCCATTTAAAACTGTCACACTTTTGCTATGCTCATAACCATCCATCAAAACAACACTGGATGTGACTTTTACAGTGGGAATCAACGTTCTTTACCCAGTTATAGAGTTTTTAACCCAAATATAATCTGTTACAAGTCTGTTTAAACAGGCTCTGTCTTCTAATATTGTTACCATAGAGTCAACCACGAAACTGCAAGCCATGATTTCTGCCGTGTCCACCATGTTGCTGAAGGGCTTGCATGGTGCAACTTCCATAGCCAGCTACAGAGGATATAAACAGGAAATGTCAACACACAACAGATTCAGTAACACTGTACAATTACGTTGCACGTTAAAGTCTGTCTTGGAGATGTAAACAATTGTACAACGTCTCCCTGCAGTGTTCTTGGCAAACAAAAAGAGACTTCTGAGATCAACAGAAAAGCTTCATGATTCAAGCATCTTGTTTTTTTTACTTTCATTCCTTTAGTTAACTAAAGCAGAAACCAACATGCCACAGAGCAAATTCCTCAAATTTATAGAGGTCGTAACTGTTATATTTGACTTTTCTTTCTACACTCCAAAACCTTTATGCAACATGCAAAGTTTTGCAATGCAACATTCGCTTCAGGCTAAATTAACACTGTGAGAAATAGACCCACACCTTCAAAGGGAGACAGAATGTTCACATTCCAGCAAGTGAAATATGGTGTTACTGAGAATTATTTCTTGTAATTCCTTCTGAATTTTATTCTTTGTAGTTTGAAACATTTTATTGGAAGACTTGAAGTGATTCCAATAGAATCAATGTGAGTTGGCAATATAAAGTCTCAATGTAGACGATTCAAGTAAAAGGCAGATTTAAATGTGATCTGACTACTGTAGAGCCTGAGACCTAAAATGTCTTGTGTGTCCAGCTCTCTAGTGTCGTAGTATCTAAATCTGCCTGAGAAAAGAAAGATTTAATATGAGCTTTACATCATTCCTGAAGTAAGACAAAGAATGAGCCGTGTACTATATATCAGATATGATATCTGCTGATTGAAGTTTTTATCGTTTGTGGAAGTGCTATCTAAATCTTGGTGCAGGTTCTTAATGATCAGTAACAGGTTGATATTTGCTTAAAAAAACAAACAAACAAAAAAAGCAAACAAACAAAAAACAAACAAACAACCTTTTTTGCAAAACTGTAATTTTGTTTCTCCTTCTTAGAAAAAATAGCAAATTAGCACACCAAAACTTACAGATGTTTTCACCCATTCAATGTATTGATGAAAGTAGCCAATAATGGTGTTGGTGTACTTTCTGGACTCCTAAGGAAGATTAGGACACAATGTAAGTACAGCATTTTATACAAATCAAGTATAAAAGCAAAGAAAAATAATTCAGCTGTTACCCGATTTATTAAATGCGTAGCGTTCTGCGAGATGAGGAACTGCGCAGCTTTGATGGCATCAAGAACAGCTAAGATTTTGTTCTACGGAGAAGAAACAACGGGTTTCGTTTAGATGATGATGATTAAATTATTTCTGACTTAAACTTGAGGACTATTTTACTTACAGGAAGATCAGAGGCTGTTCTTTCCAGGAACCTCATACTCTGGTTCAGCGCACTCTGTAGAGCAACAACATTTTAAGTATAAAGGTCAAAGTTCAGAGGTTAATGACATCCGTTCAAAAAATAAGCCAGTGAAACAGAAATGGAAACCAGAATCAACCGACACTTGATGAATAACATCTTTGCATGCTAAAGAGTTCTGTTCCAAAATTAAATATCCACAACGAAAAGAAAAACATGATTCAGTTAGCTTCAAAGGCCAATTAATTGTAACATATGCAACAACTAACCGGTCTTTCCTTTGCTTCCACTAGTGACTAAGTAGATAGGGTTGCTACACAACATTTCTTTTCTTTAAGTGGATATTTCTGACATTTTAGCACAAAACTCTTCACGTATAACACCAGAGTACATGAGTATAATGTACATTTAATAAAAACACACAATGCAGCCTAAAATTGGACTTTTCCCACCTCTTTTTAAAAAATAAAATAAAATTGCTCTAAATGATGTCAGTGTTTGTTAATGTTCCACATAACGAATGGGGACACTTATTACACAAGACGAACGCATTTCTGCTTACCCTTGCTCTAACATACTTCTTGAAGTTGAAAGAGGAAAAAGAACAACATAAAAAAAAGCAGCTGTAAAAGTCTGTGTTGAAGAATATCACTGCTCGTCTGAACTGCTTGTAGCTGTAAATAATTGCTGTTATTCAGAAGAATGGCATAAAACTGAATATTTAATTTGTTTTTCACAGTCATGTCTTAGATGACACATGCCTGAGGGTCAGAATTTCCCATTTAAATTATATTAAATGAATCATATAAATGTCTTATCTCTGTCAAGGTTTATGTAATTCTCTGAAATATATATTTGCAAATGTTAACAGAAAATACTCCTACTTGGTAGCTTTGAGTTTGGGATCCTGACATCTAACACATATCGATATAGTCATTTATAACAAAATAAATCTACAGGGCTCATGTCTTTTAGCTCTGTTGTGGTCCCGAGTAGAGCAGGGCGATATGACCAAAAATATTTATCACGATATACATTTGTAAATTTGCGATAACGATATAACTGACGATATAATTGACACTAAACAAAATACTTTACAACTCCACGAATTTAGTAGTGCAAAAAACCCCCAAAACCATCAATGTATTTTCACTTAAACAAGCAGCTGTTTTTTTATGTGCATTAAAGTTATATATAAATTTAACAGTGCAAATGCAAATTCCTCGCTGACAGTTTAACCAAAAGGCATTTCCAGTGGAAATTGGCCGACATATCCTCAGCATAACCATGTATAATATCCACAAAACTTAAAAAGAGGTTATACACACAATACGGCAATATTATGTTGAAGCACAGTACGTATCACTCCGCGAGGCTCCGCCTATGATAGCCGTAATGCTCCAACAATCCATCAAGTGGTGCGGGTTCGTAGCTTAGCAAAGTCGTACTAAAACATTTGACAGATTTGCGAGCGCTGTGTAGCACATAAAATCATTTCGAGGTCAGTAAACACAACCAGAATTCATACATAAGGCACACGGGATTATAAGGGGCTCTGTCGATTTTCAGAAAAATCAAAGGATTGATTTTAAGTGTGCCAGTTCCACACCACTGAAGCTGCAGCATTTTTACAAACCAATTCTGGTTCATCCGTTTCATTCAATGATCCGCTTTCGCCCTCCTCATTCTCCGTCGCCGCCGGCATGCTTTTTCCCATATGCGTATGAAAACAAAGGCACCGCGCATTTTACCCATATTCTATCGCGATATTTCATTTTCTTGTTGTTGCCCAACATTATACCGGTATTACCGTGAACGGTATGATATGGCCCAGCCCTAGTCCCAAGTAAAATATGTAGCTCAACTAGCCACTGGTTGCTTATGTCTCTGTATTTTGGCACCAGGCAAAGTGTTATGTTAGGCGTCAGTAACACAGGCCTAGAGACCAGTTGGCGATCCCCAGTCTGACTGAGTGGTCCTCGAGGTTACTGTATGAAATAGGTTGTAAAAAGGGTGCTGCAACAAACTCCTCCTTGTAAATGGACTGATTCCCATATAGCGCTTTTCTACTCTCCTGGAGTACTCAAAGCGCTCTATACAACATGGTGCATTCACCCAATCACACAAGCACCGTCTTCTAAGTTTCTTAGTGCAAACATATCGGAGAGCAATTTGGGGTTAGTATCTTGTCCAAGAATACTTGGCATACAGACTGGAGGAGCCAGGGATCGAACCATTAACCTTCTGATCAGTAGATGACCTGCTCTACCTCAGTGTTGTGATATGTTATATCACTAGCAGTCCATGGTACTTTGCATGGAGGACACTAAATGGTCCGCAGACACTCATGAGGCTAACCACTAAAAGGTAATGACACTTGAAAAAGTGTGTCACAAATTGGAAATGGAGACTGTCTGCCTATCTTCGAAACCAAAATGTTTCAAAAGGCACGACATATACTTTGAAAGCAAATGATGACGTGACCCATTTCACCAAGCGACTGCCAGCAAACTCCAGCAACAATTCACCAACTTGCTGGGGAATGCACATTTTTTCTTACCGACCAGTAGTTACCAACCAGTACACAGTATAGGCCTGTGCAAGTAGGGCCTCAGGTTTAAAAAGCCTAAAATCAACTACCCACTGAGGTGGGAAAAGTAAAGACAGTGGACCGAAAGATTTTAAATATTCTTTAGAGCTTAAGAGAACTGAATTTTTTGTTTACGATCATACAATATATACATAGTAAACAATATATAGGATATATAGGATGCTGCCACCATAATGACACCCTATTTTTTGTCAAGTAAATATCTTATATCTTATTCCGCTTCTTTCCCCATCCTCTTAATTAATTCATTTTTCTTCATTTTTTTAAAGTTTGGCCACTGTTTAGTTAAAATGAAGATTAGCTTGTAATACTTACTGACTAAAACTAACTTAAATAAACACACACCAATAAATGCATCTAATACATACTTTTATCACTTCTATAATTCACCTGAAAGTCATATCAATTCCTGTCTGAAGGGAGGGGCAGAAAAACAACCATGACAACTGAATACACCAAATTAATGCAAATTAAATCAGCCACCACTGGCACATAGTTTTGAAATGATGTAGGACGAATCTTTCCTCAAAGAGAATAACTAAATGAATCTAAGCAGAAAACAGAAATAGCTATCTCAATAGTAAACAGAGAAACACAGTAGGGCATTACCATGGATTGCTCCATTGGGACGATCTGTTGCCTGTGGATCTGCCGCAGAGTGCTAACGTGGCCTTTCAGAGCAGACTGCAGATTACTTTTGGGCTGAAACGCACAAACAACCACACAATCTTGAAATATATTAAGATAAATATATCAAAGGCTTAGATGGAATTGAAGCACATATATTATACATTCTTAATTTTTTCCTTGCCTTTTATATAACAGTACATTAGAATATAGTTCTTTATCCCTTTCATCCAGGAGAGGAATCAAATTATTGAATTTACGGAACAGCTGGGTTTACTTCAGGACAACAAACTTATGGGACCTTTAGATTAAAATCTCTTTAAAAGCCCCTTTCTCTAAAATCAACTAACTACAAACTCCATCTTTCTACAGGACCCTAATGGACTTAGAAATTGAAAGTGAATGAGCATGTTGTGCTGCCCTAAATGCAATGGACGGCAGTCACACATCATTGAGAGCTTTTATTTGTTCAGGCAGAGCCGTTGAGAGAGAGCTTAGAGAGCAAGAACATACGTATTTTCTTTTCATTTTTTGCCATCAAGTGCTCCTGTGGCATTGTAAGTACATAAGCAAATTAAATCAGTGTGCACACAAAAGAAAACACTTTATACAACCACTACTGGGTGCTTGTATAAAAGTCAGATTCTTACCATCAGGTCTGTCTGGGCCTCCAGTTCTCTGGCAAATGAGAGTAGATCCACTACAGTGACCCCCTTATTCACCTAAAGACATCAAAGTAAAAGAGAACAAAATATAAAAAGTAAGGTTGTTTTCCTTTATAGTAGCAAAGTTAAATTAAAGATGTTTTTTTGTCCACTCCTTTTCTTTTAGCTACATTTTCACCTTCATCCTGTAGTTTCTTCTGTAGCAGCTTTTCAACTGCACAGATTCCAGTCAATTAGACCGCTAGAAAGCTATTTAATATAACTTTTTGTCACTTATATTATTTCCAACAGACAGCAGAGAGACATGCTGCACATAAAAATGTGTCAGCTTGACTTTTGCAGGGTGTGTGCGTTGAGTATCAGTCAGTCTTTAAAGCTTTTTTTATTTTATTTTCAGTCACTCTGGGGAAATAATTCTAAGTGAACCTGACGGGTTGTGTTAGACAAGACATGGAATGCCAAGTCCCTGCCTGTTCCTACATCCTCTTTGCCTTGGCAGGATCACCTTTGGATAATTGAGCTGCAGTGGTCCTCGACGAAACCCACTGTTCTGTATCACACTGAAGCTCTTATCAGGCGAAGCATGGCTGCCTGTTGTATGTTAACTGACAGCAGTGGAGGTGCCTCTTAGACTGCGCCCACAGAAGTGAGCTATTTCTGGTAGCACACCATTAAAGCACAGCTGAAATATGTTTGTGTGTAATTATGTAAGAATTTATAACAATTCATTATTATTTGACTCCCCACTCTTTCTACTTGGATTGTGTTTTCTCAGATAAACCGGTGCATCTACAGAACAATTCAGTCTAGTAATCACAAAGAAATACCTTGGTTGTGTAGCTGTTTTACACAAATATTGTGTGTGTCTCCTCCTGTGTATTGCTTCTTGTCTTTGTTGTGTATGCTGGCCTGTCCCTTGCAGACACACAAAACCACACTACTTCCTGCGTGGTTTTGTGTGCCTGATTATCCAATTATGCCCTTCCCCCTTCATTCATGCATATTTTAAGGGATTTATTTGTGTTGCACATTTTTTTCTTTCCCGCTGATGTGTTTGCTCATTCCAGTATGCTTGTGCTGATGCGTCACCTCCTCCAGGTAGTCGGCGTAGTTGATCTCTGACAGCCCTGCTTCAGAGAAATCCAGGAGGTTCTGCCTTCCCTCTGCCTCCAACAGGATTATGCCTCTCAAGTCGATCTTAAGACTGTCCAGCTGACTGACCACATCCTTTGTGAACTGTTAACACAAAGATATAAAATACTTTTTTGTTTAGTTGTTCTAGAATGTATATATTAAATGTTATTCATGCATATTTTATGTGTATGTTCCAATTTTCTTGACATAACATCAGAAAAAAAGACAATCTGGTAATCTTAGGACTTTGAGTAAATTTCCAGTATTGTGACTGTATAGACATGAAAATAATGAAAGGCTTCCAAAAACACAAAACAAATGTTGGCACACGAGCGACCCAAAATCTTAAAGATGTGGTTTGGATGGAAGTCTACATATACCAGTGATGTTTTCTTTTGATTTTTTTTTGTTTTACAGTCCCCAGTCATACATTTCTCTACATAATCCTTTCATTTAACATTAAATAGTAAGAGTACTTTTGCTTGCACTGGACTGTATGCTTTAAGGACTGTTGTCCCAAAAAGCAAAGCCATAGCCGTACCGAGACATATCTTGGCAAGTGTGATTTTCGTGAAGGATGTCGTGAATAGAAATATGTAATTTCACAACCAAAAAAGAAGTTGTTGTTTTGTGGCACTTTAAAGACAACCAGACCAAAAATACTGACAATAAAAGCTGTTCTCAGATGACATGGTTTATGTGTTTCCAATAACACTAGAAATGTCCTGCATGTGATGGGTTGCACAACTTTTATTTAATATAGAAAATTCTACAAAGAGATGAGCTGCGCAACACTCCATACACTGAATCCACATACGCCAATGACACCCCCATTTACTGCCTGAAAATATTAATTTTTTTAAAACTTTTTTTGTAATGAATTTTGAAATGTGAATACTTATGATCAATTCAAAGGTATATATCATAGACTATATAATATAATATTTCATGTCACCATTTGGTGTTAAAGTTAGCACCCATGCTGCATACAACCTAGAGCCATGTGAGAAACTGCTGTGCATTTATACAGTGCGATAAATTAGAGTTACTATGGTGATAACAAGCATGTTAGCTTAAATGAGGGAAGCTCTCCTTAGAATAGATGTATATTCACAATAGGGGGGGGGGGGGCTTTTTAGATTTGCTGCATATAGCTTGTATGATTGGTAAATTAACAGAATAAAAAGTGTCAGACTTTTAGAAAGTTTTTCAGGCTTTAATGAAGAAAAATGAACAATATCCAGAAGCCGCATGGAACATATCATCTGTTGGCGACAATGAGTCAAGGCAATTGTGCCAAGTGTCAGGAAAGTGCTGAATGTAGAAGTGGCTGGCTTAAATCAATATAATGTCACACAGGCATACACTGACTTAAGGGCTAAAGCATGCTGAAATTATCAGCTGTCAGCATCCCTTTTAGTTTGGGACCTAAGAACTTATAAGGTAATGCAAATGAAGTACTGCATGCAGCCTTGACTGCAGATGTCTGGGACCTTATTTCCTGTAGAGTCGTTTTTAATCCAGCTGTTTTATCATGTTTTGCGAGTGGGAGGGAAGAGAGAAAATGTTACACGTGGACAAAGATTACCCTGACTTTACCCTAATATGTGAGCAACATCAGAGTTATTCTTTTTCAGCTGATTAAAATTTGTCCTATTAAAGGTTAAGATCATGTATCTTTATATGAACTAGTAATGTAAAGTGTATAACACTTTAGGAGAAAAAAAAAGTAGCTATTTTAGTTGCTCAGCTATTATAAGACAGCATCCTATCATAATAATAACTACAACAGAGTACGTAAAGGTTACTAACCACTGTGGTGTTCAGGTAAGAGGAAATATTGAAGACTTTGTCCAGACGCATGGCAGAGTAGATGCCTTGGTTCTTTTTGCAAGTACTAATGAAGACAAGTACACGAAAACAAATACACACAGAAATATCAGAAAGGGGAAATAAAAGAAAGAGAGAGAGAAAGAGAAATATCAATATGTAACTTTCTGTCATAGTAAAAATATTTGCTGCCACCAAGTGAAACTGACTGGAAGTACATGACTAATATGTCCATTTATGAGAGACAGTGTATTATTCACGAAAAGCTTAAAATGTTTGCAAATATATTAAAGCTAAAAATGCCTTGAAAGCATTTAGGTAGCCACATATCTTAGACTTGCTTTATAAAGTGTGAAAACTTGAAAACACATTCTGTTTGAAAATGGTGACGATGAATCTGCCATCCCAGTATACTGAGAATGTGCAGCATCACACTGCAGGAAGATGATGAAAGCTCGTGTAATCACTAAGAAAGGGGCTGCAGAAAAGCAGTGCAGACAGCGTAGAAAAAAACGATCCTAATTAGCAAAGCCAGGTTAATAGTAACCCTCTCCTTCTTTCTCATTTGCATTTCCATCAATGGAAACAAGATACTCAGTCACATGCTTGATGTCTGACCCTAAGCCAAATGAAAAACAGCATCATCGATTAATTTTGCAGACTATACTTAGATAAATGGGTTGTCTTGCTGAAAAAAAAATCATTCATATTGTTGTAAACTAGTGTATGCATGAAATATAGAGAAGACAGGTGGAGAAGGGTGTGAGAATAATGGCATGACAGTGTCATCTAAATACACAAAAAATCATTTTCTTTGCCTGTATAAGCTCTCTGTTGTCAACTTCAGCTCAGAGTCGTTGTACATGTAGCCAGGGATGAAGTTCTTCCACTCTGGGTTGATCATATATGGAGTATCCACAACCTGGTGAATTAGAGAGCAGGAAACAGGATGTATAATCAATAATTCCTATGGTGAAGCAAAATGAATCCATCAGTAAATTCATTATTGTAAATTCAAATTAGAAACAAATGCACATCATCATCCACGATGCAGTTCGTCCTCACTGAGGCGGCAAGAAAGTCGAGAAGAGCAATCATGGAGGCACAGAAGAAAATGCTGAAAATGAATTTCATTTGCAGAAACTTCTATAAATTACTTAAGAGACCCCGCTCCAAATCTGACAAACTTCGTTCTCTTTCATGAGTGCCGATGCACCATAAATTAAGAAAAATGGCAGAATATTTCAGCCTTTTTTTGCCCATTTCTTTATTTGTTTTTTAAACTTGAGGCAAAATTAGATCTTCTGAATTATGGATGGGTTGAGTGCAGATGCATTCAGACTTAACGCACATAACAGCTTGCCCTTGACAACTGGTAGCAAATGCTATTCCAATGAGCCCACCTAAGGGACACCAAGTTTTATGTAGTGTGCTTATACTAACAATTATCTGTGCCAGTGGTTCCCAGACTGTGGGATCTCAGAATTATAACTCGGGGTGGAGTGAAGCTGAATGAAAATGACACATTGGTTCTGCACTGCTAACAATGCGTGGACACGTTTTTGAGAGGACTGCCCAGTAAAGCTAAAACAGATTAATCTACACCAAATGTCACAACCACCAAAACAAAAACTAAACACTATGACGAAGCACATGCCAGCCTCAGCTTCACCACAGTGGGTAATGAAGAGAGATCACAGTGTGCTGTGTCTGAAAATATTCACTTCTGAATGTATGAAGCTAAAGTGAGACTGTCACTTTGTTCACTATTTACATTTTTAGTTGTATCACACACAGATACACACGTTGGATTTTTCTATGAATTACAGTCAGTTTTCAAAGAAAAATATATAGAATGTTTCTTTTACTCTTCAAGTAGGACTTTTATTTAATAATATATATTCATCTTTGAAAGCAGGGCCCTTTGTATGCTTTATGTGTGGGATCCACTTTTACACAATCAAAAAACACTCTGTTTACATTTTATCTCCCTTATCATTGCATGACTTGCCTTGAAAAGCTCTTTGGTGTGGAATGGTTCGCACACAAGTTTCTCCATGTTCCCTCCAGCCAGGAAAATGATGGTCACCACTCCCATCAGTACCCAGGAGAAGAGGAAGCTAAATCCAACTCCACTGTGGAGAAGAACAAATAGTCCCTGTGGTACAGCTGATGTGTACAATTCTAACACAGTGAACTGTAGCTTTATAGTGAAACAAGCTGTCTGTCATAGTACAGTTTTAATAACTGTAAAAACTACTAGAACATGTACAGTTATACTACAGTTGTACTTGTAAAATAGCAACATAAACCTGAGTTGTGGCAGCTTTTTACACTTTGCATACTGGACTTACGCCATAAGCATCGTTCCTCCTGTATTGGAGATGCAGCCCCGTGTTGTAGGTGAGGCATGTTTGTCATAGCCCAGCGTGCCGCACAGCAGGCCCAGGTAGTTGAAGGCCAGGACCAGGACCACCATGCAACAAAGAGCAATGCAGCCAATCCACCTGAAGGCAGCAGGCAAAGCCAAACTATTAGAGATCTCACAGAAGGTGGTTTACCAAAATATAAATAAGCACAGTTCCCACTGTGGTTTATATCAACAAACTGTCAAAGCATCCTCGAGAAAGAGAGCTTTGCTCCACTTGCTTATACAGCCAAAAAAAGCACATAAGCACAGAAACTAGGATGGGTACAATGAAAATAGAACACAAAGCTTACTAAAAAGGAAAAGAGAAAAAACATAAAGCAAGACAAATGTCAAACATCAGGCATATTTCATTAATATAGTTACCTCGTTTCAGCACATTTACATGATAGTTTCTATTTAATAAAAATGTTTTTTTTTACTTTTACCCTTAGAGGTTTTCCTTTTATGCAAAGCACTTATAAATACACAGATATGCTTTGTGAAGTGAAGAAGAATACCTGTAGAAGTCCATTTTGTCAATTTCTGGGTAGTAGTCTTCAATCTTGGCGTGCACATGGTTAATGAAGATGGTGAAGTTGGACAGGCAGCTCTGCACTGGGAATGCCTTGGAAAAGCTGCTGATGTTATTGCCAATGCTATCCACCAAATTTGTTACACCTGAGAGAAATCATTTTTTCAAAACAGAAAAAATGAAGAGTGTAAAGATACTTGAAAAATAAATAAATTCATCAGTTTTACCATTTTAGGAAAAATATTAACCTGGATTTAAATTTAACATTGAATTAGACTACGATATCAACAAATGTTTAAAGTGAAATCTGTGCAATTGAAAAAGGCCCCATTCTTGCTACAAGAAACAAACTTACAGTACATAACAAAATAAACATAAAGAGAAACGCAGAGAGTGCAAGGAGAACACAAAAATCCATTCATTTATATAAGCACTTATTGTAATAACATATATCAAGAGTTATTAACTTTTGTGTTTGATTTCAGAAAAACATCGGTTCAAAAGCCACTTACTCTCAACAACACTTCTGGTCTGTTCAATCACCATATGCGGCGTGTCATTCAAAGAGGAGAAGCCCTGTGAAAGGAGGAAAAACAAGAAGGAACACCAAGTTTCTTTGTCCATTTTGTGGTTTTGGTTGGATTTGAAAAAAAAATCAGGAACTAAAGATGAACAACTAAACCGGAAAACTGACAAAATACATCAGAAAATAGACTGGAAGACAAAAAAACTCCAATTAATGTGGTTCATGCTCACCCTCTGAACGACAGCGCTGAGGTCTGTTTTCAATACATCGTTCATCTTTTCCAGCTGTGCATTCACATCGGGTAGCTAATAAGTGGAAAAACACAGCTTTGATAAGTATTTGCAATAAGAAATTATCAAAATGTAACAATTCCTGATTGCTGTTCAGAAATCTATTTTTTTCACTAGTTCAAATAATTCCTTAAAAAAATAACCTAAACCTTTCTATTGCTGTATTTCACTGTGCAGCACACTGCATGAGAAACAATGGGACAAAACAATTATTTCTAATGCTTAATATAATGCATAATCTTTAGGGTCAATATAGAAAGGTAGATGATTACTTTAAGACAGACGCAGAAAACGTTGAACTTATCCATTAGCCCAAAGTACTTAAGCCTGATTTTTAAGTGTGAACAATTTTATTGCAAACACGTGCCAAAAAGAGCACCACAGTTACAGTTTTGTACCCGTGTGAAATTTGAGCTGATCTGCAGCTGGGACAACGACTGGCGAATGTTGCGGCATAGCTGGGCTGTGGTAGCATCCGAGTCTTCATCATGGCAGTCAGTGTCATTTAGGGTGTGGTTGATGCTGGTCCGGACTTGGCCCAGGTTTAGGCTCAGTTTCCCTGTTCCATCCTGAAGCACCTCCAGAGATGCATTAACGCTCTCCAAGGCCTCCTTGGTTTCTCGCATGGCTGAAATAACGAGACCACAAGTGACATGGCAAGTGAACTGGGTTTAATATATGAGGGAAAAACCAATAAAGGAGAAATGCCCAAAGCAAAGTACCTAAAAAGTAAAAATGAAGAACAGTGGTTTTTGGGACTGTTCTCGCTGCAGTCACATGTTCTTCCAAAATGTAAATAAAGTCAGCTGGATTGTCTTATATCCTCAGAAAAATAAAAATGAAGGTGTTTTTTCACTAGTTATCTTGAGGAAAATTTTTAAATTAAAGGAGTTGTCATGTGGGGCTTTTCGATTAACTCTATTCCCATTGGATACTACTATGTGGTTTGGCTTCAGATGACTCAAAGAATCATGAATACTTTATATGAATCTTTCAGTTCTCTTCTGGAAAATACTGTAACAGTAAATGTGTGATATTAGACAGCCTTTGATTTCACCAGTGAAGAGGAAGTATGGAGCTGTTTTGTTTGTTTTGTTTTGCTTTTTTTAAACAGTGTATTGGTAACACAAATCGGGTAACCAGAACAAGGCAGTGGAGGCCAGAGGAAATCAGAATGGTTGACCAGAAATAGCAGAAATACAGCTTAGAAAAAGATATAGCATGATTTTTCATGCTTGTGTGCAACCCTGAACCCTGTTATAAAAAGCATTATGTGTAAAATGGGACTACATAGGAAAAGAAAATTGTTTCATATTAAATAACTGTTTTGCTAAGTGGTAAAGGAACTATTAAGAATTAAGACCCTTTACCTAATTAAAATCACAATCCTACAATGTCAAAAGAACACATTATGCTGCTTGAATCATTGGATCATAATTATTGAAACATTAATGCGTATTTCATTTTAATGTTTCAGCTGGAGGTTATTTAAATTGCTAATATAGTAATAGGTAACTTTAGCTATATTAATAAAACATTATATATTAGTGACTTTATATAGTTAACATCTGCAAAATACTAAGCATTTCAAGTGTTATGTTATGGTATAGAGTACAAAGTACAATGTTTGTTTCAAAATATAATGTAGTTGAAGTAAAAGTCAGCAACAATGAATTATTTAAATAAAGCACAATGATATTAAAACTGTACTTTGTTTCCCAGGCACATACTAAGAAATCCTTACTATCAGCCCAAACTCCACAATCGGTGTATCCCTAGTAAAGCCCAGGCCTGATCCAAGTATATCTTTTGAGTTTCTCATCCAAGCTAATGGGGTCTGACATTTTGAGTGTGTCTGTAGTGTTCTCATATACTAGTGTGAATCTCTAGCATCTAAAATTACACTGTTAACTGCACTGCATGCAACAGAATCGCTTTTGGCGAACATTAAGCAAACAGGAATGCTATGAATAATATGAGCCATTATTAAAGATGTCGCTGTTCAGTAAATGACGCTTTTCCATGCATTTGGGTTCATTGTAAGACAGCAGCCAGTGTTAGTATAGAGTCTGTGAGCAGCCTGCAGAGGATGCTTAAAATTAAACCGGATAAAGAAAACAAAAACACTAGCATCCTTGAACAGAGGCATAAAAGGTGAACAACAGGAAACGGTAAATACACTCTCACATAGTGGCACGATTAGCAACACTGTGAAGCCATAGATGGACGCTTAAGCACCATTTTTAATTGTAGTAGTATATATCTCTTGGTTTTGTATTCCCTTTTTCTATCTTGTTACACTCTGCATTCTCAGTGAATAATAAAAAGCTTTGACAACTTGGCTCAAACCCAACAGAAACCCAAAAGGATATGAATATTAAAAACCCAAATTACAGTACAATCACTGCCATGCCAATGGCCAGACATTTTACCAACTTTACTTTTTT